TGTAAAGGAAGTACTGACTATCTGAAATTAAAGTGTAGTAATATACATGCCCTAATAATTTCGGATTTCGGATTTCGGATCGGATTAAAATATACCAATCTGAATCCGATCCGAAATCCGAAATTTTAAAAACACAATCCAAAATCCGATCCAATCCGAAATTGAATGGATCGGTTCGGATTTCGGATATCCGATCCGAATAAACAGCCCTAGTCGTGATTAAACAATGACATGTACGTGTTGAGCCTAGTAGTGTATCTTTATGTTTTCCCTGTCATGTGTTTTCATTAGTTATACTGAATTTAAGTTATGTTAAGTTTCTATACTTGTGTTGTACTGTTAAAATAAAGAAGAAACGGGCCTTGACTATTTTTTTTAAAATTTTTTTATCTAAGACAATTTCTTATAAATTATATAGCTTATATATATATAATTTACAAGAAATTGCTTTAGATAAAAAAATTCAAAAAATAAATAGTCCGGAACACTTAGGCTCGTGGGCCCGGCCAATTTAGCCCGGGACCATGTGGGCTTAGGCCCGTAGTGGGCCGGTTCCACCCTTCAGAACCGCTAAGCCTGGGACCGCCAGAGACCGGGACCGTTTGGCCCGGCCCATTTAGCCCATTTAGGCTCGGGCCCAGCCCACAATACAGCCTTAGCATCCCTATATAACAACACCTCACTATAAAAGTCAAACTTGTTCGGAACCAATTTTTAAGTTATGTTAAAATATATGTTCTATATAATAGAACTTCACTATAACATCCAAAAATATTCAGAACAAACGAGGTTGTTATAGAGAGGTTTAATTGTACGAGTAATAATATAAACCATTTCAATTGAGTAAATTTCTTCATACCATTATACTTTTGAGGCCAAATTATTTTGTCTCGTCAACTTACTAACCTCGGAGGGTTTATCGGAAATAACCCCTCTACTTTCAAGGTATGGGTAAGGTGTGCGTACACGCTACCCTCCCTATAACTCCCTTGTGGGATTATACTGGGTTTATTGTTAACTTACTAACCTACTGCATCAGTGGCGGATCTAGAGTGTTGTTACTGGTTTCATGGGCGGCTCAAGTATATGTGGAGCCTAAAGCCAAAGGTTAATATGAGGCCTAAATATTTAAAAGAAAGTTATAAGATATGTTTTTATTTTGAAGTTTATTCTTTTAGCTTTTTGAGATACAAAGTTGTTAATTTTATAATCGATTTTCTCTAATAATTCCTTTTCATTTGATAATATAGCCAACTCATTTAATCTTTTTTGAGACATTGCTGATATTAGATAAAATTTTATCTACCAATAGAAATATAGAACTATTAGAAGCTTAAAAGTATTGTTGAACACTTGAGTAATGAAATCTTGGATAACGAAGGTGAATAAGAATATTTAAGAGAAAGATAGAAAATATGTAAGAGTTTCTAAAATATGAAGAGATTTGAAAAAAGAAAGATGACTTGGACAAATTAAATAGGAAAGAGTAATATTTTTACACGCTATCTAATGAAGGAGTAAGAAGTGAAAAATTGAAACCTTGGGAAAACTATTCATTTACCCATTTTTAAGTAAGCCAAATTATTACCTTATTTATATATCAAAATAGCTTTCTTTTCTTTTATATTAAAAACTCTATTTTTGTATTAAAAGTATTTATATTTTTAAATACCTATAAATTATTATTTATAAAAAAAATGGGCCCCCCAAAATATGGGCTACTCATAGCAGTAGAGCAGGCCCTGGCTGGGTTTCTGAGAACCCAGTAACTTTTGCATAGACGTTGTATTTTCTATTAAGAAATCCACTAAATATTTATAAATATCTAAATGTGAACCCGGTTATTATTATATATTAATTGAGATTAAGGTAGAAACCCGTAAACTTCAAATCTTAGATTCGTCTCTCTACTACATTAAGCACTACAATCTAAAACTAACACGGGTCCCAAAGAAATACAAGTTGTAAGGCAACTAAAGTTAAAAAGATAGATTAAAGTGATTAAATTTTGTATATTAGAAAGAAAGCTGTTTTCCATAAAACAGCTGAAAAACGAAAAACAGAAGAAAATGCCCTTCAACAACGAAAAATTGCCAATTTTTTCAAAACCAAATCCAAACAAAAATTATTTTTCAGAAATCAAAATTAAACCGATACATATGCTTACTGTTTAACAAAAGACCATACCTGTAATATTCTTGTCCCGTGGAGTTTCCACTACAAGAACAGGACCTAAATTTACAAAACTAAAGTTATCCCAAAATTCTGAAACAGATGATTTTCAGTTTTATAGAAAAGAATAAAGAGATGGGCAAAAGCATTACCATTTAAGGTTCGGAGATCAAGCGAAACGACATCGTAACCGAGCTCGAAAAGAGTGTCATTGAAATGTCCAGGAGCATCAACGTGTGTACCAGAATGAGTAGAAAGGTTGAAGACTGAATCATTTGAGAGATCACCCAATTTGATACTTGTCTGAAGTCTTATGAAGTTGCCTAACCCATTTTTTGAACCGAAAGCTGGCAAATCAGGAACATATTTATGGGAAATGTCAATTACTTTCTTTTGCCTGTAATTTCTCTCTTCTCTCGTGATTTTTTGGAAATCAGAAGTGCTTACTGCCCCGGCGGCGCTGACGACGGAGACAAGTGTCACTACGGCGGCGAGCGACAGCAGGAGGGCGAACAGTGTGTGACTGGTCATGGTGATGATGGGGTTTTTTCTTTTTTTTTGAATATGAAGAAGAGAGGACTGAAGAGACAGAGGTGATGAAATAGTTGTATGCAGAATAGTGACTTGTAGTTTTGACATTTCAAAGCAGATACATTCAACTATGCTAAAGTCTTTGGACAAATAAATGCAGTTGAATTGGGCAAAACAATTATTGAAATTGGACAAAAAGTTGTTGTGGAATGTCCTACTTTTCTAAGAAAAAGAAAAGTCTCTGAAGGTGGACAATTTAGTATGCGCACCAAATGAGCCATTAGAATTTAGCTGAAGAACGTTTGTGATTCATACATTGATCATATCAAATTCCCCTGGTATAAATGTGAAAAAATTTGGGCCAAATGACTGTAAAGTCCTTGGGCTTCTAATATCTGATAAAACATAAAAGTTTGACAGAAAAATCCAATGCTGAATTAACCCCCCACCCCCAAAAAAAATAAAAGCCCATAAAGATTGTCAAGTGGGATTTTTGCCTTCTTTTAAAATATTTGAAACTTATTTATCAAAATTGTTCTAGTTTTGTATATTACCCGTTTTAAATAAGGATTACTTACAAATTATATACAATCTATTATTAATGTCTTAAATTAGGGGATTCAGTTACATTTTTTTCTCTCCTCTTCTCTTTCCCTATTCTCTGCCGTCTCTGTCCATACACAATCCATTATTAATGCCTTAAATTAGGGGATTCAGTTACACTTTTTTTCTTTTTTTCTCTCGTATCCTCTCCTTTTTTTCCTTTTTTTTGCTCATCTATGCTCTTCAGATCTATACAATCTGCTCTTACAAAACCCACTTCCCTCCGTCACTCTATTTTTCTAACTATTTCAGATTTCTTTAAAGATACATAGAGTATTTTTGTGGGACAAAACAAAGAAAGAAATCGTGTTTTTTTAGCTATAAATTTCAAAGTAAAATGGAACTACTGTTAGTAGAAGTAGTAGAAATTTGGGGCAACGCCATGTCTGAAAGTACTAACTGTCACTGCTGTTTGCTTGAGATTTACAGGCAGGAAGACTACTATTTATGTCGTGTTTTTCTATTTTGTTTTTCTTTTCTTTTCTTTTTGTCAAAATGATTTTGTCTTTTTCTATAACCAATGTTAACTCGGTACTTTTTGATTTCTTTTCTTTCCTTCCTTTTTTAGAATTTAACTTATGTATTTGATGGCGTCCAAAAATATTTACTCTCTCCGTTCCAATTTATGTGAACCTGTTTGATTGGGCATGAAGTTTAAGAAAAAATAAAGATTTTTGAAATTTGTGGTCCTAAACAAGTCAAAAAGGGACCCAGAGTATTTGTGTGGTTATAAAAGTTTCTCATTAAGGGTAGAATTGTAAGTTTAAGCTAAATTGTTACCAAATTTAGAAAGGGGTCATTCTTTTTAGAACAAACCAAAAATGAAATAGATTCACATAAACTGGAACAGAGGGAGTATAAGTTATTTATTAAGTAACTAGACTCATGACACGCGCGTTAATAAGCTTTTGAAAGTCATATTAATTTTTGGAAGTCCTCGATCAACCAACAATATATTAAAAACCCTTCAATAAAATATTGAAAAAGTTGAATGCCGAAATATTTAAATTTGATAAATCTATAACAATATATAAACTAAAAATAAATTTTATATAACTAATTATATAGTATAAAACTTATTTATAACTTATCTACAATTTTCACACATTATTTTTACCTTGTTGAATACAACTATAACATCATACAACTTAAATACAATTTTCATACAAATTTTATACAATATGCATTTTGTATGTAGTTTGTATATGATTTGTATATATTTTGTATGTGATGTGTTCTTCTTTCTCTCTGAAATTTCAATCAAAATTTCCTCTCTTAATACAATTTTGATACATATCAACAGCTTTATGTTTTAAAAAATAGTATTTATAACTTAGATACATATTTATAACTTTATGTAATTACTCCGGGTGTCCGGTCCCACACAGGAGGCGTGGGCTATAACACATGAAATTCGGAAATCGGGTGAAATTTTAGTTTTATAGCACTAAAACGCCAAAAAATGAGTAAAGATCATGTCGAGGCGGTGACTATTGTTCTTTAGATCATTTTTAATGGTCCGACAAAATTTGGCGCGATCCGGATCCGGGCCCATATAGGAGGCATGGGCCAAAACACATGAAATTTGGGAATCAGGCGGAATTCTAATTTTATGGCACTAAAATGCCAAAAAATGAGTGATGGCCATGTCGAGCCGGTGACTATTTCTATTTAGGTCGTTTTTTATGGTCCGACAAAATTTTAGGCGATGCGGATCCGGGCATCGGGGTCCAATCAGGAGGCGTGGGCTATAAAATATAAAAATCTGTGAATCAGACGGAATTCCAGTTTTATGGCCATAAAATGCCAAAAAATGAGTAACGATCACGACAAGGCGGTGACTATTGTTCCTTAGGTCGTTTTTTATGAGCCGGCAAGATTTTAAACGATCCGAGTCCGAGCACCCAGGCCCATGTAGGAGGCGTGGTAGCACACAAAAATTTGAGAATCGGCGAAATTCTAGTTTTATGGCCCTAAAATACCAAAAACGAGTAACGGTCATAGGAGGCGGTGACTATTGTTCCTTAGGTCATTTTTGATGGGCCAAAAAAAATTTGGTGATCCAAGTCCGGGCGCCCGGGGCAATGCAGGAGGCATGGGCTATAGCACACGAAAATTTGGGAATAGGGCGAAACTCCAGTTTTATGGCCCTAAAATGCCAAAAAATTATTAATGGTCATGGCGAGGCGATGATTATTATTCCTTAGGTCATTTTTGATAGGACGACAAAACTTTAGACGATCCGGGTCCGGACGTCCGGACTTATGCATGAGGTATGGGCTATAGCACACTAAACTATGAGAATCAGGCAAAATTCTAATTTAATAGCCTTAAAACGTCAAAATACGAGTAACGGTCATGACGAGGCGGTGAATGTTGTTTCTTAGGTCATTTTGATAAGTCGACAAAAGTTTAGGTGATCAAGGACTAGGCGCCCGCATGCAGGAGGCATGGGTTATAGCACTCGAAATCTGGAATCTGGTGGAATTTCAGTTGTATTTCCCTTAAACGCCAAAAAATGAGTAATGGTCATGGAGAGGCGGTGACTATTATTCCTTATGTCTTTTTTGATGGGCAGTCAAAATTTGGGCGTTCTGCCCTTGGGCCCATGCAGGAGGGTGGGCTATAATCCACGAAAATCTTGGAATCGGGCGAAATTCAAGTTTTATGACCCTAAAAAGCAAATAATGAGTAATGGTCATGGCGAGGCGGTGACTATTGATTCTCATGTAATTTTTGATAGGCCTAAATAATTAGGCGATCTGGCTCCGGCATCTACGCCCATATAGGAGGCATGGCTTATAGCACATGAAAATTAGGAAATCGGGCGGAATTCCAATTTTATGGCCCTTAAACGCCAAAAAATAAGTAACGGTCATGGCGAGACAATGACTATTATTCCTTAGGTTGTTTTAGATAGGCCGAAAAAATTTTAGGCGATCGGGGTCCGGGCGCCCAGGCCCATGCAGGAGGCGTGGGCTATAGCAAAAGAAGGAATCGGGTGAAATTTCAATTTTATGGCTCTAAAATGCCAATAAATGAGTAACGGTTATGGCAAGGCAGTGACTATTGTTCCTTAGGTCGTTTTTGAAGGGCCGAAATTTTTTTTGGCGATCCGGGTTCGGGCGCCCGGGCCCATATAGGAGGTGTGGGCTATATGACACGAAAATTTGGGAATCGGGCAAAATTCTAGTTTTATGACTCAAAAATACCAAAAAAGGATAACGGTCATGGAGAGGCAGTGACTACTGTTCCTTAGATCAGTTTAATGAGAAGGCGAAATTTTAGGCGATCCGAGTCCAGGCGCCCGGGCCCATGCAGGTGACGTGGGCTATAATACTCAAAAATCTGGGAATCAGACGGAATTCCAGTTTTATTGTCCTAAAACGCCAAAAAATAAGTAACGATCACGGCTAGGTGGTGACTAGTGTTCCTTAGGTGGTTTTTGATTTGCCGACAAAAGTTTAGACGATCCGTCTCTGGGAACTTGGGCCTATTTAGGAGGCGCGGGCTATAGCACATGAAAATCTGGGAATCAGGCATGATTCCAGTATTATGGCCATAAAATGCCAAAAAATGAGTAATGGTTATGGCGAGACGGCTGTAAGCACGCAATTTTTGCTTCACGGACAGTCACTCCAAAAGAAAAAGTGACAAAGGACCTCGCTGTACAATT